TTTATTTTTTATTTTATTTTATTTTTATATTAGAGGACATACAGAAATATGTCGTTTGCAATCGATGTGTGACATGAAGGATGACAACAAGTTTTATGAGGCGAAAGGTGCAGTAAACAGGATTATGTCGTAGTGGTCAGCAGGTGCGCCGTTCTCTTTTGCACAACCTTTCGCTTGCACGTCAAAAGACAGCGCACCTGCCGACCCGCAATACAGGCAAAGGGAAGCGGGTCCATTAACCCTCAACTACAAGGTTGCAAGCGAGTCACCATCCGTTGAGCCATAACCAATATATGACGGTCCGGTGCGCAGTGACTATGATTATATCGTAGTGGTCGGCATGTGCGCCGTTCTCTTATGCACAACCTTTCGCTTGCACGTCAAAAGACAACGCACCTGCCGACCCGGGTTCCTTGTAAAGGGAAGTGGACCCATTCGCCGTCAACTACCTCTTCGCAGGTGAGTCAGCATTCGTTGAGACGGGACCTAGCGATGACGGGCGAAAGGTGCAGTAAATAGGATTGCATCATTGTGGTCGGCAGGTGCAGCGTTCTATTCTGCACAACCTTCCCCTTGCACGTCAGAAGATAGCGCACCTGCCGACCGGGGTTCCTTACAAAGGGAAGTGGGTCCATGTGCCCTTAACTACTAGGTCGCAAGTGAGGCATCATCCGTTGAGACAGGAGCAACCGATGACGTCCGAAAGGTGCAGTACATAGGATTCTATCATTGTGGGCGGCAGGTGCGCCGTTCTCTTTTGCACAACCTTTCGCCCATTTAACCTCAACTACGACGTCCGACGCAAACCTTTGATCTATGTGTGCGTTCCCTTGTCGATGTGTTGCATGTGTTAAGGTTATTGTGAGTCTCTGGACCCGATGAGTGAGTACTTATCTGTTCGTCTGGAGGTCACCTCAAAGTGTTGGAGGTGGTCTCCCCGGCACCCTTCGAATTTTATTCGAATTGTTTTTATTGAATTCTTCACAAGTAATGTTTTTTTTGTGTGTGGTTCTCCTTGCCATGAACGGGGGGGGGGGGGAGAGGGGGGGTATGCAATTGCAGGTTATTGTTGGTGAGAATATATATTCTGTATTTTTTTTTTATTTTTTATTTTTTTCTTTATATTAGAGGACATACAGAAATAAGTCGTTTGCAATCGATGTGTGATATGAAGGATGACAACAAGTTTTTTTTTTTTCCCGTAATTATTTGGTATATTCGTGATAATAATTTTTTTTTTCTTTTTTTTCTTTTTTGATTTGCACTGTCCCTGCCCGACACCCTGTCTGGGGACGACGCATGACTGCTCACACATGCGTGTGTACGCAGGCAAAAGTCGACCTCATAGGCCGACTTTCTCGTCCTACATTATATGTATATAACTTGTTTTTCCATTGTTTTCGATGTTTATTGAACTTCAGATTGGACGGCGATAACTGCGTTTCGTAATCAGTTGCATCTCACAGGCGGAAGAAGGTATGTCGGCCTCACATGACATCATTGCGGTAGAGACGGTGATGCAGTTTGCCACGCCCTCTGTGCATTATAACTCCGACGCCGAATTGCAGCACTTGAGACAGAGGTTCCTCGTTATTTTCATGTGCATATCGATGTCGATGCAACCGTTGCTCGCAACCTCGACAACATGCAAGATGTAAGCGTCTTTCTGGACAGGCTGCATCACTCACCCCTCCTACAAAGGACAACGGTTTCCCACCCCAACAGACCGATTGACATACAATCTTACATGGAGAAACCATTTCTGGATTGGATCACAGAACAGAAGGATGTCGATATGAATAAACACCAAAAAGGTGGTATGTACACAAAACCCGCGTTTAGGAAAAAACTGCAATCGAAGATACGTGCCGCACAATTGAGGCTACCCTTCAATGCCGCCCTGTTGAAACCGGGCGCGGCCGAGGTGTTATCCTTGTCGCAGTTGCCCTTAAAAAATTGTGTGCAACCCTCTTGTCTTGCAGAGTTGCCTGTCATTATTGCTGATGGAATTGAGTACTTCCTTGTGGATCAAATTATGGATTTGACCAGGAGAAGTAAATGCGATAGAAATGTCATTCACTGCATCCTCCATTCTGTGATCACAGATGTGCTTGCAGGAGGGGAAACAGTGACATACTCCTTAGCTCCTCCTTCTGTGTCCAATGCAATGTCAACCTTAGTTCAAGATTGTGTAATCGAGTGCGCAACGCAAGCCATATGTGCAGCTCCTACAGAGGTTGATAGGCAGCGCAAGCGACAGCAGGGTTGGGATCTCGTCGCCGCAGAGTGTAAGAAGAGCTATGTAGAGGAGGAGGAGGACAGTAGTGATCGTAATCATCAATAAACCAAACTTGTTGTGGCCATGTTCAGAGGGGATAGCGGTTTAGAGAAAGTAACAAAGCACGATGTGAAAGCAGAGGATTTAATCCTGCAGTGGACGCTCCAGAACTCGTCTCATTCCGCTGGCCAGGAAGAGAATCCTACCTCCAACAAAGCCGTGGAGAGAAAATTTGAGAGGTCATTTGTTCATGATGGTGACAACAGAAAAAACCCTGTTATCATGTCGCAACATTTTCGCACATTTGATAGCAGAGGGCAGGGTGAGGGAGAGGAGGCATTTGATGCACAAGTGGACACGGAAAGTTTCGACATCTTCAACGAGAAACTTGTTGCAGATGCATACATCGACGAGGACTTCTGCAAGATTCTGGAGTCAAAGGACAGCAGTGAAGCAGGATGGTGTCATGTCGTGCTGAGGTTGGCAAGACAATACAGTGAGCCGCATCCCGCTTTACGTATCGTTGATGGATCGGCGTCCCCCGATGGAAAGCTAATGCAGCTAGCAGTCTCATCACTCATGAGAACATGTCAGACGGGGAATGACTTTTCTTGTGGTGGGAAGTCATGGTTTGTGCTGGTAAATAAAAAGGTTGTTATGTGTACATACGAAGGATGGGGCGATAACCTGGGTTGTGTAATTGCTGGAGCAGTTGCTCGTGCTGATGGTCATGATGTCCACCCTGGTTTGTCAAATGCTACAGCTATCATGTCTACTATCTCCAGAAATCTAGGGCCCGGTGCAGGGTAGTTGATCATTTTGTCCTTGACAAGGATTACAAAGATCACGCATAATAAATTAGTAGGAACTTTTTGTAATAGAGGTTTAAAAGTTCGATGTTGTATTTGGTAATTATTTCAAACACGAGGAGGGGAAACGAGCTTTTTGTTTGTATTTTACTTTTATATATATTTTTTTTTCTATTTGTTTTTCTTTTTTTCCATCAAACATGTCGCCACTGTTATAAGCAGGACACAGTTATTTGTAATTGAAAAGTAAATTTTTATGTTTTTTTTTTGTTTTTTCTTTTTTTTATTTTATCATTTTTTTTTTTCGTTTTTTTTTTTTTTGAGATCGCCGACGAACACGTCCTAAATTTGGAATGCGTGAGATATAACTTTAGTGAAAGTCGCCTCGTAACGGGCATGACCTCAATTCTGTGTGCGAACCTTTACCTTGTTATTTGACTTATGTTATGGGAATTGTGTGTCAGTGAGGATGTGGTATGTCATGCCCTCTCGTAGAGTTTGGATGTGCACAACATGACATGAGTTCGTCGTGTATGCCTTTCGTTCCAAGCATGATCCGATGGATATTGCTCATCTTCCTCGTCTTCGTACCCGCTCGCCCATGGACCGCTCTGTGTTCCTTCTGTACATGGAGGTTGGCAAGTGCGCCACTCTCTTTTTTACAACCTCGTCATTCAAAGACGAAAAATAGCGCACCTGCCGACCCTGCTACGCATACGACGAAAGTGGACCCTTATAACCTCACGTTCAAGGTATGGTTCAGGCCTCTCTTCTGCGTATGATTCTGGTCCTTGCTGTATCGCATGTGTGTTCATAAATGCACGCGGGGGCAAGGAGTAACGGGGAATTTTTTTTTTTTTTTTTTTTTACCCGTTCTGCAAACAACGAAATTGATACTATAAACATATGTGAAGGCTTGGAAGGAGATGCAACATGAGCGAGAACTTGAATTGTGTGCCTTATCTGCGAGGACGAAAAAACGAATTGCTCTCCATCATAAAGATATGGATGTGTATGTTTGCGAAATAACAGGGGGGGAAAAAAAAAAAATACTGCACTGCAAAATTGTCGACCTCGTAGACGAGTAACAACTGATATGAAAAGGTTGATCTTTTCCATTCATATATTACCAGGACTCTCACACATAATATGTAACAAAGAAAGTGCAGTACGAGGAATTGCAGTTGACGATGACGGCACATAGATACATGACATGTGATTGCGGCCGTGCATTTGGAAGTACACAAGCTATGAACTCACATCGATCACAAGGATGCCCTGCAAGTATCATTGACCTGGCGTCATCATCTAGTGGTGATGAGAACATGGTACCGACAGGGGATGACAGAGATGATGATCCAGCTCCAGCAGACATTCAAGGAACCATCCACGCGGGAACAGGAAGTGAACCTTTCAATGAAAATGTTGACGATGATGAATTACACAACGGGGTCGCAGGTCATAATGAGAATGTTATACATTATGACTCTGCACGAAAAATAGCAGCAATGATGTTATCGGCAAAAGGGGGACTAGGATTATATCTCACAGATATGGATGCGTTACTTGCAATAGTCCGTAATCCACACTTCGATCCTCGCTCGATACCTTTTCGCACAGGAAAAGAGTGTCTACAGTGGACAGGTCGAYAAGCAGGGGTTAACGCATGGCAAGAAGTAGATATGAGGAAGGAAGATTGRCCACAAGATGCGCACGYAAAGTTGTGGTTCCGTGATTGGAAGACGACATTCTTGTCGTTACTAGAACGTGGATTCAGATCAAAGAACAAATTAGTMATAGAAGTTCCGACAGAGACAGATCAGAATAGTCCAATAACAGGTGCCATAATGGCATCGATGCGGAGGCACGTACAAAACACATGGCGCACAACGAAGGGGTTGGACATAAGCGGGCAACAAAGGTATGTGGTTCCTTTTTCGTTGTACTCAGACAAAATACATGTGGATGGCAGAATGAAACAAATAGCATATCCACTCATGATGTGTGTTGCCGATAGGGCAACAGAGGCCACACTTCTAGCGTACTTGCCAATTCTGACACACAGGCCAAAAGACGCAGATTGGGACCAACAATCCTCTCAGTTCAGAAAACGTAAAAGCGTAGTATTCCATGAAGCTCTCTCCATGGTTTTACAGGCTGCTAAGGACGCATCACACGAGGGTGTCGTCGTTCGTACACACGACCTCGGTGAAATCACGGTGCATCCTTTCCTTCTGAACAATATCCAAGATTATCCAGAGAGGTGTGCGCTAGCAGGCGTCAAATTTGGTCGCTCCCCCACCTGCACGGTTGCAAAGTCAGACATGGACATGTACGCTGATTTTGAAAGCAACAACAGATCAGAGGAGTCTGACAAAGCAGTAATACATGACTCCAGAATTTCTTCGACTCCCGACATCCGTCATGCTGCACAGGAGCGTCTTCAAGAGTGTGGATTACACAGATATATTTTCGCGAATGGGTTGTGGGGGGTTTACAAAGGGTCAGAGGGCGACGACCCGTTGATGGATTATTATCTGACACTTCAACCGGATAGGATGCACACGATAGAGCATGAAATATTTTTACATATGATAGATGCCTTTCGTGAGGCTGCAAGAGAAAAACTTCCCGGAACTCCTAACACAGAAATATTAGCAGAACTAGATGCAAGGCTCCAGTGCATAAGCGAACGATGCGTAAACACATATCCAGGACTTGTATTGCCTGCACGCACAGGTAGTGATTTCTTTTCCAAAGAAGGTAGATTCGAGGCGAAGCAGAATCGCTCCGTGATGACCGTGGTGATGTTCGTGGTTCACAATGTAGTGAAGGGTAGAGCAGGGAAGCGGTTGACGAAGTGTTTCTGCAAGCTTATGAAATTTTATATGACATTTTTTTGGAGGGCGTCGCACACAGTAGCTTCTCTCGATTACTCGGACGAATTGTTAGGTGATTTTATGTATTATGTGAAAACTTACATGGACCGATATCAAGCATCACGATGAAAATTGCCAAAGATGCATGATCTCAACAAGTTCAGGGCATGCGTGGAGCGGTCAGGGCTCCCGGACATATTCGCAGCCGATGTGTGAGAGCATCATCATATTACATTTTGCAAAGATCCTTATCGATCATCAAATCGCAGACAGGCTACACCGCAGATGGTAGACCATGTCCGTCGATCTATCGCTTTACAAGACGAAACAGAATGTATACGTCGACAAAAGATCAGGGAAACGGAGAACTGGTCTGCTGTCAGCAATGCCGAGACAAGTGAAACAAACACCTTGTCTGCAAGAAACAAAGCCACACTGCGTTTGAAATGGTTTTCTTTACAGAATGTCTCCGCAAACGCTAGTGAAGGCAGGAGTGAAGAGGATGCATTCACTCTTGAGAACATATCGTATAGAGAGAATTTCAGAGCTGCGTTATCAGTATTTTTCAACGAAAACGAATGTCATCCCCCCATGGACGAGACAGTGATCAAAACAAGGACGCACCTTGCAATTGCATGCACCGACGATGGAAGTATCAGGGGATCAATGGTACAAATAGCCAGAGCTTCACCACGGTTTCACGGTCGGCCTGTCCACAACGATGTATGTGTCAGAGTTGTAGAAGGAGAGTTGTGGTATGCATCAGTGGGTATGTTTTTCGTCGTACAAGGTCAGTGAGGTGAAGAGGTTCACACATTTGAGTGTGCATATGTACACTGGTATAAAGAAATCAGGAACGAGCCCTRTGTCACTACGGCATGCAAGGTTGTGAAGTGGGAGAAAGCAAATGATCGACACCTCAACAGCGTAATTTCTACGGATACTATAATCGACACTGCACACATAGTTCCATATTTCAAGAAGCCCCAATGGGGAACAGGCTGATTTGCTGTGTGAAAGGAAGACCAATTATACGTTAATAAGTACACACTCTGACGGATTTCTATGGGTCATCGTATGCTTGAAGGTATAACTCTCATAACTGAGACAATTTGGCTTTCTGCACGGTCCTGCATTTCCATATCGGTGCACAAACTTGCTAACGAAGACAGACATCGATTCCGCTTTTAATTATCCTCACACTCTTACAATTACTTGACATGCTAACTGTTTTATTCCACCAGAAGGGAAAAAATCGGGAAACATTGTCAATAGACAATACGTACGAACTTGTGTAGAAAGAAAAATGTCGACTGCTCTCTCTCTCTCTCTCTCTCTCTCTCTCTCTCTCATCCCGGTGTTTACACGGCGAAACTTCAAACAATCTGAAAACGGTGGTCGGCAGGTGCGTCATTCTATTGTCTACAACCTTATCAATGTGTGTCAAATATCAGCGCACCTACCGACCCCAGGAAAGCTTCCAAGGGAACTGGCCCCAGAGAAAAGTCGATTGCTCTCTCTCTCTCTCTCTCTCTCTCTCTCTCTCTCTCTCTCTCTCTCTCTCTCTCTCTCTCTCTCTCTCTCTCTCTCTCTCCCTCTCTCTCTTTTATCCTGTTGTTTATACTGCGAAGCTTCAGAGACTGGGAAAACGGTGGTCGGTAGGTGCGTCCGTCTATTTTGTACAACCTTATCAATGTGCGTNCTCTCTCTCTCTCTCTCTCTCTCTCTCTCTCTCTCTCTCTCTCTCTCTCTCTCTCTCTCTCTCTCTCTCTCTCTCTTTTATCCTGTTGTTTATACGGCGAAGCTTCAGACAATCGGAAAACGGTGGTCGGTAGGTGCGTCCGTCTATTTTGTACAACCTTATCAATGTGCGTCAAATATCAGCGCACCTGTCGACCTCGGGAAAGTTTCCAAGGGAACATGCCCCAAACAAACGGTATAGGGGGAAGAGGATGACGTGATGGTTAGTGGCGAGAAGCAAAAGGCAATAACAATATATGCCACATAACGAACGTGACGTCTGTATTTCGGGAATTATAATCGCGTTTTCATATGCGATCACCACTTAAGTTTACCTAAACACATATCCATTCTCAAAGAGCGATGTGAAAAGAAGAGTTAGATTAAGAGGATGTGAAGGTCATTTGGTGAAACCACATGAATTCTATCTACTCTTGTTCATAG